GCGACAATTGTCGCATATAGTACATTTTGGCAATACTTTGGTTGCACAGTTAATACAACTTACTCGTTATAGGTATACCTTTAACTTTAGTAGTTAAGATTTATTTGGCAGCGGTTATTGAGGGTTGGGTCTATTCTTCATGTACGTACGTATCTATTTGTTGATATAACCAAGCCCAGCGGTGTCACAAGTGGCAGTAGGCCAAGTATCAAGATGCATTATTTTACCAGCAATAGCAATGGACTTTAGTGCCATGAATACGTATGTCCCTGCGCTTTTTATTTTGTGTTTGATTTTTCTTTCTGGTATATGTGTTTTCAGGAGTTGTGCAGAACAGCACACATCTACAAAAGAACCATATTGCAGAACTTTGACAATGTTTGAAACTCTGTCGACAACCAAGAACCCCATATGCAGATTGGTGTCTGCCTGCTCTCCCAGCCAATCTCCCACTATTTGTCTGATTGCTTGTAATATAATTGCTGAAGTGTGCTTTCCATGCATCACTTTAGCATGTAGCTGTACATTCAGACATGTTGATAAGGTTGGACCTCCTCCACTGTCATCATGCTGCCCAAAAATTGACTGCTGCTTCTGCTCTCCGGACTCTTCTCTCCTAACCCCTTTGTATAATAGTAATTTTTTTCCTGGTACAGACATAAACAAATGATCAGTGGTGAGGGCAAGAGCAATATCATCAAGAACAGAATATTTGGGTACTCTGCTCTACCTCTTCAGTAAAGATTGTTACTGAAGGCAGCAACAGTTTCTGATGAGTTCTACCTTAAAAATAAGGGGTAACACAGGCAACAGCAACAAGTCCACTGGTTTCAACAATCCCTTGCTTCGCGCACCATAAAACACGAAAGCAACAGCAACAAGTCCACTGGTTTCAACAATCCCTTGCTTCGCGCACCATAAAACACGAAGTGGACAAGTAAAAAAGTATAGTTACAAAACATATACCGGTGAGGGTGCCACAGTCACAAAAGTGCATGTATATTTACCACACGCATATTAGAATTAGGCATGTATGGAAACAAGAAGAAATATATACATAGTGAAGTATTTAATAACAAAGTTAAAATAAATTATAAAAACAATAAAAAACACTCACAAATGTAGTGGCACAAAAAGAAATACTCCTGGTTTTGCTATAGAAGTTTGTCAGCCACTGCAGGGCTAAGTCCTCATATGTTGAATCTCAGCCTCAATGCCTCAGGATGTCTGTCACTCGTGCTTCAAATGGAGTGTGAGAGTGAAGATGTAGGTAGATCCAGCAGGTATAGACTGTAGGGTTTAAATCTTTGGGGATACCTCAAGCTTCTTTTTCACTCAACGCCTTTCGTCTGATGACTTTTTCAAGAGCTGTGTCTCTTTCACTTTTTCGGCTGTTTCACAATATGCTTTCAGTGCACATGTGCAAACCTAATGCTTCAATGCGTTCAAATCCGCAGTGGGCAGATTAAAAGGGAGGGGAGATTTGGCCGTGATTGCACCTCCAGGATTACCCCTGGAGTGAGGTACGTCAGTTAACTTAAGGGAAACCCAAGTACTTCCGCGTCAAGTGAGCATCATTTATCCCAAGGCAATCCTGAGTACTTCCGCATCAAGTGAACGGATGATGATAGTAGGGAGGGGCTTACACTCGGAATAGAAGGATCTATATTGTTATAATACACATGTGCATAGAAGAAGTAAACTAACTTTGGGGATTGCTTATATTTTACGATTCTTGATGAATGTTAACATTATATTTAGGAGGAATTTAAAAGGGAATAAAAATAGGTCTAAATACAGATTAAAAATAATTGCAGAATTTATATTAAAATAAATAAGACGTTTTTTTTTTTTACAGATATTACATAGTTACATAGTTACATAGCTGAAAAGTGACTTGTATCCATCAAGATCAGCCTTCCTCACATATATTGTTGCTGTAGATCCAAAAGAAGGCAAAAAATCTAGTCTGAAGCGCTTCAAATGTTGCCACAAACTAGGAAAAAATTATTTCTTGACCCCAAAATAGCAGTAAGATATCTCCTTGGATCAAGCAGCTATTACCCCACTAATTAGAAATTATATCCCTGTATGTTATGTTTTTGTAAGTTTTTATCCAATTGCAGTTTAAACCTCTGTATGGACTCTGACAAAACCACCTCTTGAGGCAGAGAATTTCATATCCTTATTGCTCTTACTGTAAAAAAACCTTTTCTTTGCCTTAGATGAAATCTCCTTTCTTCCAGCCTAAATGTGT